AAGGTCCTGGGCGGGGTGGGCTATCAAACCCCCATCGGCGAAATTGGCACTTGGGGGTCTTCGGTGGCAACTCATGGGAGCCTCCCATACCATCTTGTCGGCTCTCGCGAATCAACGCCAATCGACGCTAGTCGACGCTAATCGACGCTAACTCAACGCTAAATCGACGCTGATCGACGCTAACCGACGCAAAATCGGCGCAACCTCATCGACTCCCAAACGCTAATCGACGCTGATCGACACGAAAGACGGAATTGAGAGGGTATACCAGGCTCCCATGATTGGCTACCAAGTGCGTGGATCAATTTCCTCCCTGAGCGTACCCCCCACACACCACGTGGCCCCTGAGGTCAACCACCATCTGACGGGGCAACCAGAACGAATAAAAGCGTGCGTCGGATCAGCCCGCATCGGCACGAAGCCGACGCATCAAAGCCGAACTGGCCGGGCCAGGATGCACAACGGCACGCATGCGGGTGTCTTCTGTCGGCGTTAGACAAACCTCCCTTTAGTAAACCTCCCCTGATTGAAAACGGCCTGGGACCGAAACAGACGGACCTGGACCCGCAAAAATGACGGCCGCGACGCCCTCTCGCGAACCGAAAACGGCAAATTCCTTACTCGACGTGTCAGGGTAGGAGGTCTATACGTTGGGAGTCCCGAAGCGGTGCGGTGACAGACCGTGCGGTGACCTCGAAATCCCACAAGACCTCACCGCACGGTCCGTCACCGCACGGTCTTGGGACCCTGGAGGCCCCCTGTCGCCCGAGACATCCTCGGAGAACGACCCGAGCCCCACAACCGTGCGGTGACCCCGAATCCCCACCGACTCACCGCACGGTGTGGTCACCGCACCGTCTGGGGGCCCCCGAAATGCGGGGGTCGGAGCGCAGCGGGCCAGCCGGAATCGAAACCGAATCGGATGGATCGGATGGGAATGGACACTGCATGGCTGAGGTTCCTCGGAACGACCCCAGGGAGGCCAGAGCTGCCAAGAGAGCGCCCGACGTGCTGATCTCGCGACGCTTTGAGGCCTGGGAGGGCCCCACCCCCTCTCAAACCCAACTGGCCGCCAGAGGGGTGGGGGGCTGCGTTCCCCACCACACCCTCCCAGGGAACTCTTAGGATTGACCAAAAAAGGACCCTTGACCCTTTGGCGGGAGGTCTAAGTCAGGAGGGCCAAAAACATCAGGGCTGGGTGGCATCTTGTCTGCAGATGTATCACGCCAAACCGCCCAGATGTATGATCCCTAATGCGAAGACGGGGATCTAAGTGAGGCCACGTCTTCATCGTGTAACTAGGGCAAGGGGTTCTTGTGCTCGCGATGATCTGAGTATCCTTGAACCCTCCGCTCCTCCACCAAGCCTGATCGGCACAAGTGAAGACGAAGTCCTGGCGCAAGCAGGTCCTGGACCACTTGGCCACGTGGTCGCCGCCAATGCCGACAGTTATCGCTCCGGCTGCCGATAGCCCCCCAGACCGCTCCCGGAGCGAGTTTGTGCCAGGGCGGCTCCAGTTGCAGTAACGAGAGGCTTCCCCAAGGCGCACAAACAGAAAACAAGCCTAGATCATCGATCCTCCTCCCCCTCCTCATTCTCCTCCTCATCCTCCTCCTCATCCTCCTCTTCAGCCTACTCATATTGTGTCCTCCGGTCAGCAGTCACCTCCTCCTCCTCCACCTCCTCCTTCTCCTCGTCCTTCTCATCATCATCATCGTCCGTGTTCTCACTTTTTCTATCCTCCTGCCCCCGACTCCTCGTCCTCCTCCTCCTCCCTCGTCCTCCTCCTCCTCCTCCTTCTCCTCGTCCTCCTCCTCCTCCTTCTCATCCGCCTCCTCCTCCTCTTCCCCCATCATCCCTCCTCCAGCTTCCAATTCGATTATCTTCTCCTCCACCCCCTCCTCCCCCTATTCCTCCTCCTTTCCCTTCTCCTCTTCCTCCCGTCATAATCGTCATACTCCTTCCCCCTCTCCTCCACCCTCTCTTCTTCTCATCCCTTTCCTCCACCTCCCGTCTTTCTCGTACTTTCGAACGGCAGTCTGGATACAGCCACCAGCAACGACGGAGCATTCTAATGCAGAGGCACCCAGACGGCGCAAACTGAAAGGGGCACCCCAGGGCCGAGGAGGCACAGGGCGCGCATTGGACGCCAAGCACCGAAGGACGCAAAGGTCCGCTGCTTCAGAGACCCATCCATACCGCAAATCCCCATTGCAGCCCAAGGATTGCCGCCACGGAACACATGGGTCATGAGAGAGAAGGGTCGTAGATCCTGGGCAACCCTGGGCCACAAATATTTGGCGGTCCTGGGGCCCGTGGAAGGCCCTACTGGGCCGAGAAACGCGAGACAGCTGAATCCAGGACCCGGTCCCTTATATATCCATGCTGGACATCACGATTCGCTGCCGCTGCCGCTGCCCAGGCAGCGCTCTGACGTGATAAAAATGCCACAGAGAAGAACGCCGCCGTGAAATTGGCTGTGCTGCAATAGCCCCCTTTTCTCACCAGGGAGAGGCGGCAGGCGGCTGCACCGTGTCCTTGGAGACAGTATTGTGCCCGACGCGTCGCAGAATCCCGAACCACTTACATGCTACAGCCCTGCCTTATCCCAGAAGCGAGCGCCGGGTGGTTGGCTGAGCCGAGAGGACATTGCCGACACACGATGACCTCGTGCCGTCGCGACGAATCTAACTGCCGCTGCCTTGATCGTCGTCACAGAACATCAGGAGGACGATGACGTCTCAGATCACGAAACATGGAAACAATCAATATCAAGCTTTCTCCAGTCATCAGACACCATGGTCTGCCACCCGTCTCCGTTGCAAGTGCGACGAGCACTGTAGAATTCATACCAACCGCCACGCGCTCGACGTCGAGCACGATCACACGTATCAGCGATGATAAGTCGGAGACAGAGCGGCCATCCATATCTTTCCCAAATCTTGGGCACCAGCTGTTCGCGCCTGAGATGACCCAGCCTATCAGCCAGATAAGTTTGCACAACTATTGCAAGACGGTGGTATGTTGAAACGAACCGCCACGGGCATGCCAAGTCTATTCGGACGCATACCTGTACAACTCACTGCTGAGATCCACTCTTGGGTCATGATGACTTCGCTGGTTGCACATCGCCCGCCCCGAACCGATCGTAGCAACCACTCCAGTGACCCAAGCAAGAAATTGCCAGTGACCTGACCCACGGGCCAGCGGGAAACCAACAACGCCCAGCAACATCATCATCATCAACATCAGCATCAGCGTCATCAGCACTATCATCATCGGAATCGCCAACATCATCCGCATTGCGATACACAGTAGCAACCACCTCCCCGCACGCTTAAAGGGCTTGAAACAGTGCCTAGGCTGTTCCTCTCGCCACGTGAAGAACGCGATGGCCGACTTCGGTACCACCGCGTCGTCCATAACAGAAGCATCCAGGCCGCATGACCACGATGCCCACCGAACAACGGAATTTCAGCATCTTGCACAGACACGCGATCCCCTGGAGAAGTTGGAGCCGCCACCCTTGCTTCAGCTGGTGGCCCCTCAGTTGCAGCTGCATCACGCGACTGCCGGCACCTTCCGACGAAGCCGCAGGCAACGGCAAGACGTTGGATAGGCCTTTGTCCTGCTCAACCTTCTGGAGTACATCACCAAAAACCCTATGAACTTTGAGCAACTGTTCCAACGCATCGGCCGCAAAAACTTCCTTGGAAACGTGCCAGCCTGAGACTCGACGCCCTTGCCCTCCTGTGGCAGCCCACAACTACGTGTTGCCAACTCCCAGCGTGCCTCCTCAAGCTCCAAGAGACACTGCCTGAGCTCCGCCACATGCGACCCCTCGTCGGCAACATCCTCTTGCAAACCTTGCAACTCGAGCTTCCACCACTTCGACTCCTTATCACATGTAACAACATGTTCTTCGATGCCCGGACATGTCTTAGATAAGTCCGCGAACTGCAGACCGAGAGGCTTGCTGGCACGCCGCTTCTCATAGAAAGACGTCTGCTGCTTGAGCTATCCCTGGCGCACAACACTCGTCTCGGGAACCCGCTGCACCTGGGTAGCTGTACACTTCTTGAGCTTCCTTTCGGCCCTAACATGCTGCTGCAATCCAACGTCTGCACTGCCGCTGTCGTCGCTAGTAAGGTCCACGCACTCGCCGTCATCTCCTTTCGCAGATGGCCCTTGAACGACTTCTTCCCGTAAGTTGGCCAATTCTGCTGCCGTCTCCGACATCCGCTTGTTCTGAGTACGACCTGTTTCCCCAGGCGATAGGGAGGTGGAACTCTTCGAAAGGGGCGTCGGGGTGCCAGGCACTTTGCTACCGCCGATCACGATCCGATTGTGAAGACAGGACGTATTGCAACGCATATGAATCCAAAATCCCACAAGCCCTCTGGATGTATGTGGTTTAACGAACTGTGTCTTCTCTCTGCCAAAACCCCTCCTTTCCCTGCTCGGGGGAGGGGTGTATTCCTCGTTTGCCCCCTCCCCCTACCCCCTCCCCCTGGGCCTGGGAAGGGGGAGGGGCGCGGGCAGTTAGAGCGCCCAAGATGGCCCCAAGAGGGCCTCAGGGAGAACACGATGGCCTCCAAGATGGCTCAAGATACATCAAGATGGTTCAAGATAGCCTCCGACACACATCGAAGAGGCCCCCAGACGGCCCCAAGGCAGTTTCAAATGCCCTCCGAATCCTCTAAGGATTCCCCTAGAAGCCAAAATCCAGCAACAACCTATGGAAAAGTACTGTGTGTTGCCTTCTCGCCGTTTCGCGTTCCACGGGTTCTTGAGGCCTCACGATGAGGCCAAGACGAAACAAGAGAGCCCCAAGAGTGGCCCAAGAGGGTCCCAAGGGGGCCCCAAGAGCGCCCAATAGCGCTCCAAGGGCGCCACGAAGAGGGCCCCAAAACACTTTGTGTGAGCCTCCGAGGGGGGGGGGGGCTGCATGTGTCCCCACCCGCTTTTTGAGCCATGGGGCCGAAGAGGCCTCTCAGACCCAAGAACGCCCCAAGACTCCCAAGATGAGCCCCAAGAGGGCCCCAAGAGCGAGGCCCCAAAAGGGGGCCCTCAGAGAGCCCCTCAGCTCAGGATAGCATGCGACAGCCTCTAGCCGAACATGGCTCAAGGTAGGCTCCAAGAGGCCTCAAGAAAGACTCCGATCGTGTCTGGATGGGCTGGTGGAATACGAGAAGCGTCAAACATTGAAGACTTCATGTCCTTCTTCGGTCAACATATATTTGCAGTCTTTGCAGTGCCAGTCAGCGCGCAGCTTCCCTGGTCCGTTTTTGACTGCACCCATCAAAACTGGTTAACTGCTACACCGCACGAGCACCCAGAAACGGAATAGTTGCCTGCCGTTGCGACGTGGCGTGCGAGAAAAGGAGATAAGAGAGTACCAAATACAGTATAGGCATTGGTGGGGCCGCGATTCCCATTGCTCACCCCAAGTCCTGAGCCGACCGATGCCCCTGGACTTGAGCCAACGTGGCTACGGACTTCTCCTCCTCCTCCTCCTCCTCCTCTTCCTCCTCCTCCTCTTCCCGCCTCCTCATCCTCCTCCCGCCTCCTCCTCCTCCTCCCGCCTCCTTCTCACCCTCATCCTCCTTCTCCTGCCTCCTCATCCGTTTTCTCCTCCTTCTCCTCCTCCTCCTCCTCCTCATCAGCATCATCATCATCACCACCATCACCACCACCATCACCATCATCATCATCAGCAGCATCATCATCAGCCTCGGCATCAGCATCGGCATCATCAGCATCAGCATCATCAGCATAACCATCATCAGCAGAATCATCCTCCTCCTTTTCATTCTCCGCATCTCCCTGTTCCTCCTCCTCCTCCTCCCGCCTCCTCCTCCTCCTACGCCACCTCCTCCCCCTCCCACTCCTCCTCCTACTCCTCCCTCATCCTCCCCCTCCCCCCCTCCCCTCCCTCCTCCTCCTCCTCCTCCTCCTCCTCTTCCTACTCCTCGCTCCTCCTCTTCCCGCCTCTCCTCCTCCTCCCCCCCGCCTCCTCTTCTCCTCCTCCTAGTCCCTCCTCCTTCCTCCCCTCCTCCTCCTCCTCCTCCTCCTCCTCCTCTTCCTCTAGTCTCCTCCTCCTCATCCTCCTCCTCATCCTCCCGCCCCTACTCCTCCTCAATATCCTCCTCCTTCTCTCCTCCTCCTCTCCTCTTCCTCTCCTCCTGCCTCCTCCTCCCGCTCGTCTTCTCCTCCTCCTCGTCCTCCTCCTCCCCCTCCTCCGCCACCTCCCCCCCCTCCTCCTCCTCATCCTCCACATCCTTCTTCTCCCGCCTCCTCCTCCTCCTCCTTCTCCTCCCTCCTCCCCCTGCCGGTGCGCCGTAGCGCGTGAGAAAAGGAGATAGGGGTAGTACCAAATACAGTATAGGCAGTGGTGGGGCCGTGATTCCCCCAAGTCACGCGCGCGCCCAGTGGTGGGACCAAATACAGTATAGGCAGTATAGGCAGTATTGCTCACCCCAAGTCCTCCTCCTCCCCCTCCCACTC